GAAACTAATAAGTGAGATAATAAATCCAAAGAAATGAGGAAAAAGAGAACAGAGATAAGAGCTAACGTCAATGAAAGAGAGAACAAAAATCAATATCAAGGATTAGTGAAGCAAAAATAGGTTCTTTGAAATGACTAATGAGATGACCAACCTGATGAGACTGGTCAATAGACTGCACAGAGTGTGAAGGAGAGAGAGACCCCAAACCCAGGAAAGTTAAGAGACAGGTTTAAAAATAAAAACTACAGACAAACATGTAGGAATACATTTGAAATCCACAAGGAAATGGGTTTATTTCTACCAAGGATATAAAGTGCTAAAGTGGACACAAGAAGAAATGGAAAACTCTAAGTAGATGATAACATTTAAAGATGTTGAAATGGCAGTACAAGGTCCCCTCCAGCAGATGCCCTTGGTGCAGGACGGGGCTGGAGCGGAAGGCACAGACAGCTGGAGGGCTGCAGGGCCCATCATGCTGATAGACCAGGGGCAAGGCTCCCAAGCTTCTCAAGGTCAAACCTCACCGAGCAGCTACTTGGCTTCTCTCATCCTCTCTTCCCCTGCCTGTCTACGGGGGAAAGGGCACACCCCACCCACGCCTGCTTGGAGACTTCTCACCAAAAATTAAGGTGTTCACGGCCGTCCTCCGTCAGGAGAGAGACACTGCCTATACACCAGGGGCCTGGGTGCCCTCCTGTCCTGACCCCTGCTCCCCAAGCAGCCACTGTCCTGACTTCTGATGCTGCAGATTCAGTCACAGTGCTCCCCGCGTCTTCCCAGCCGTGTGGGTGAGCTTCCTCAGGCCTGTTGCTACGGCACCACCTGTCCATCTCTGCACCACGCAGTCCACTGGACAGAGTCTGCTCCCCCTGTTCATCCATCCTTCTGTTTATGGGCGCTTCAAGCCCCCAGGTTTTTGACAAGTGACATGGTGTGATCATGCGTACGCACAGTTGACCTTTATTTTCTTGTGGAATCTGTATTTGTGATTTGCCTGCTTTCTGAAATTTACTTGTACCCCCACATCATTTTGCCCACAGTTTCCATTGCCAGTCACAGAACAGTGCAGACTGGCAAAAGGAGTTCACGCCTCCCGACGTGCCTTTTACCAGGAGGCTGTGCCTTGTCTCAGCTCTCAGACTGGAAATAGGCGTCCTTTTGGCCTCCACCCAGGGACACATCTTTCTCAGTTTTGTGGCTCTTGTCAGTGTTTCTAAGATGGCCTCAAAGCTCTGTGCTTAAAAGCCAGCTGGTGCCCCTGAGCTCAGGAGGCTGTGACGCACCCACAGAGCAGCTCTGCGTGGAGAAGGCTTTGCTCTGCTGCGATTAGGTCCCGTCACTGTTGGTTCCGTGTCGATGGATCAAAGTCTTTATGAAATGAGCTGCCTTTGGAGAGAAGCACAACTGGTTACGTACTACTGACTGGTGACGGAGTGGGGGAGCAGAGGCCTGTGGGAACAGGACCCAGAATTCCTGGAGGTTTGGTGCTTTGTGTTTGCTACTTCAGGTCTGTGTTGGCTTCACGTAGTGTGACAACCATGAATAACGAGAACTGGCGGCACACGCCTGTTGTGGAGGATAGACCTGGAGGTTGAGCGGCTGGCCGGATGATTGACGCATGTTCCGGGTCGGCAGATCTCAGATCTCAAAAGCTTGTCATCCGTGCACACACTCCCCGGGAGCCAGGAGTCCTCATGGCCCACCTTCTCCAACGCCTGGTACTGCGACATGCCGCATGCGTTACCCTGGCTTAACGTGCCTTTTCCTGACGATCAGTGGTGTTGGAGTGTCTTTCCATGAGCTTCGGGCTGGTTACTCAGATGCCCTCTTCTGCTAAATGCCTGGTGACCAGTGTTTGTTCCCTGATTTATTGGGTTTTCCATCTGTTCTCATGACTTGTGGGATTCCCGTGTTCTGGATCTGTGTGTTGGTGTCTGTTGCATGACACATAATTTCTCCCGTGCCATGGTTTATCATCTCATTCTCTTAACCATGTTTTTTCCCTTGACATAGAGTGTATCTGACATATCACTCATGCATGGAGTGAGACTGGCCCTTCTTGTGGCTGTACGTGGTGTGGCGTTTCATTGGCTGTGTATTCATAGGTGACACAGGAAGGTTCTGATTCATCCCACTGTCTTCCCCATTCCCTCCCCTCTCTTCCCTTCATTCCCCTTTGTCTAATCCAGTGAGCATCTATTCTTATCCCCCTTAACCATGTTTTTTAATCAATATGAGTTCTTACTATCAATGAGACAAACCTTACCCATTGGTTTACGGTTAGTGCATTTTATACTGTTATATCATCTTTTTATTCTGCCTAGTGTGAACTCATAATATCATCCTGTTACTTTCTAGGAGTCTCACTAGTCTACCTTCCACATTCAACCTACAATCCATCCAGAATCGACGATTGTGAGCCAGTGATCAGTCTTTCTCCCTTAGCTGTACCCAGTAGAGATAATAGACTGTCCTTTCCCAGGCACAGCCCTCCCCCCCCCCCTCGGCCTTTCGTTCTCATTCCTGCACTTACAGCCTGCTTGTTTCCCGGTATTTAATGTCTGCTTCCTGTGAGCAGCATGTAACCTGACTCTGATTTTTTTTATCAGGGTTAAAATCTTTGCCTCTTCAATGCGGCACTTGTCTGTCTGTCCTTAATGTGTACTTGGGCATATGCCTCTCTATATTGCTGTTTCCCATGTGTACCACATTTATTCAGTTCTCCTTTATGGCTCTTGTTAAAACCATACTTTGTCAATTCAGTATTTTTAATTTTTAAAAATTCCTCCCATTTTAGCTAGCCAGCTATGTGTTCCTTTAGCACCTGTGGTTTGTTTGTTTGTTTTTGTTTGTTTTTGACTGCCCTAAAGAGTTCAATATGAATCCTTGACTTTTTAGTTAAATATAAACCAGGATTTTCTTGCTCCTGGACAGTGCAAGGCCCTGAGAACATTGCTGTTCCTTTCACGTCCTGCTCCTGTGAGCTGGTGGTCATGTGCCTTAATTCCACACGGGTGGACCACTAACGAGGGTGTCCCTTCTTAGCTCCCCTGTGCCTTTCCCTGCTGGACTCTCGGCCTCATTCCTAGCCGGGATCATGTCCTGTGTAATGAGCATAGTACTGATGGATTCTCTCAGTTTCTGTTCATCCGAAAATGTCTTTACTTTACTTTTACTGTTGAGGAAAGTTAAAACTAACTGTATGCTCCTAGATGGGCAATTAGTTCTTGCCATATTTGAAGGATGTGGTTTGGCTGTGTTCTGGCTTCTGCCCTTTGTCACCCACATTTTGGTTCCTGTGGAGCTGCTGGGTGGCACTCTGCCCTGAGGGCCACCAGTTCCGCTGTGACCAGCCGCGTGTGTTCTTCCTTGGACTTTTTCCTGAGTGGTAGAGCCGTGCTTCCTGAACTTGTGGTTTCTTGCCCCTTGTCAATACTCAAAACTTCTTGGCTGACAGATCTTCTAATACAGTTTCTGCCTCACTCTTTCTTTTTCCTTCCGATTTCATCCTTCATGGACATGGGCTTTAAAATAGTGATGATTTGAAATGTTGAAGAAAACAGAGGGCTGAGCTGTAGCTCAGCGGTTGAGTGCTCACCTGGCACGTACACAGCCCGGGTCTGATCCCCAGCACAGCAGAAAAAAGGAATATAGAGGACATATTGGAGAATTTCAACCAAGAACTGGAATATATTAAGAAATCACACTGAAAAGTAACTGAAATTCAGAACACAGTAAATGGATCAGCAGAACAGACACAGTAGAAGGAAGGATTATTAAATAGAACACAGGTCTGTAGAAAATATCTATCAGGAAGCTGAATGGATGGATGAAAGATGAATTTTTTATTTAAGATCCCAGGTTCTTGCTTTGCATGAGAGGTAAGACTTTCTGCGTTGCTGGGCCGCGTTCCTGAGCGGCTGTATGTGACCTGTGGGGCTCTGGCCCTCCTACTGCATGATCACTCCTCCTCTCAGGCTCCCCAAGGGCTGCCGAGGGTGCTGCGGTGCCTGCCCTGCTCTGCTCTCTGTGCAAAGCCATCGTATCATTCTGTGGCCCTTCTCTGCTCCTGTCCACACTGAGTGTCGGGCACACCAGGAATTTGCTCTCCACCTGTGCTGATAGGGTCCAGCAATCAGGAACAGGGTGCATTTGTGTGTTGGTTGGCCTGGTGATGGGGTGTGTGTGTTGGTGTGGTGGAGGGTGATGGGATGGTGGTGGGTGACTGGGTGTGGGTGTGCTGGTGAGGTGCTGGTGACAGTCTAGGTGTGGGGCAGTATAGATATAAGTGCCTGGTCTGGGGGTTGGGTAGCTGAGGACTATAGTCAGCTGGCTGGTGTTGAGAGCCACAGCCAAGTCGGAATGGCCCCTGGCATTTTGCCAGAAGTAATGGTTGCGAGGCGAGCCATTAAGATGATGATAATTAAGTTAAGCTGTGTCAATAGGGCAGCCCCTGCTGCCTTGGGTGCCTGCTACTTTGGAGCTCTCCCGGGGAATCCTGGAAAGTTCGCGTTGGTTGGTGACGTTCCGGTGGGGAGTTCTGGTTGGTGTGTGGGGTGCTGGAGAGTTGCCGCATGGGTGGCGTTCGGGAGAGTTCCCGGGGAGTGTGCGTGGAGTGCTGTTGGAGTTCAGGCAATAAAGTTTCCTGTTTGAACATACAAGTGCTTTGTGGTGGCTCGGTGATTTGTGCCCAGCCAGACTGCGGCAGGCTGGAGCAGGGACGTTCAGGGACTGTGTGGGACTGGGCAGATGCTTCTGGAGATGCAGATGGGACTCTGGGTGGCCTTACAGACAAGCAGCTAGGAAGGGCTGACACCTGTGTCCCAGCAGCTTGCTGTACATAGCCAGCCCCTCTGAGTCCTCTGGTTGAAGTGCCCCATCACCCTGTGAGGCTAGTTTGTCACATGCCCGCATGCCAAGTGACATTTATCCTGCCTGACAGGCCCAGATGTGTCAGGAGACAGCACTGACCTCATTTTTTTGCCTCTTCCCCATCCTAGCTGCGAGAATCCGCTGCTCCAGAAGGTGTGGGTGGCTGACTTGGAGGCTTGCCGGCTCCTGCTGCAGAGTCTGAAGCTCCAGGAGGCAGTGGGCAGCCCATGTGCAGAAGACAAGGGGCCGAGGGACGGCCTGAGCTGGGCCCAATCCGAGGACCAGGGGAAGGCCCTGTGGCAGGCATCACCCGAATGGAGGGCTCACCACACCCCTGAGCTGCACTGCGCAGGAGAACAGAAAGAGGTTGGTCTTTTCCACGTGGCTTCTTGGGGCACCTTTTGGGTGGTCAGTACTGGGTGGCTCCCATCAACCATGCAAACTTTAAGGTCTGAATAACTCTTTTTTTTTTTTTTAAAAGAGAGAGAGAGAGAGAGAGAGAATTTTTTAGTATTTTATTTTTTAGTTTTCGGCAGACACAACATCTTTGTTTTGTATGTGGTGCTGAGGATCGAACCCGGGCTGCATGCGTGCCAGGCGAGCGCGCTACCGCTTGAGCCACATCCCCAGCCCAAATAACTCTTGAATATGAGTAAAAAAAAAATGCCATTTTTTTTGGTAGAAGTATTATAGAGAAATAGAGAAAATTTTTTAGCTATTAGTTTTATTTTTATTCTAACTTAGAGTCAAATATAGTGACTCTACAGGTGTTCTATGTGCTTACGTGTAATTCTACGCACACATGGTGTTCACCATGAGGTTTTCCGCCCAGCTCCTGTGGGAGCTCCTCTGCTACCCAGCTGGCAGGCAGAACCTCCTGTCGCCTGAGTGAGCAGCAGAGGCAGGTCCTCAGAGGCCAGGTGGCAAGCTTGGGAAGGGACGCTGCAGTGGGCACTGGCCATAGGGAATGCACTGTGGAGGACGCTGAAGCAGGAGGCCCCTAAAGGCTAAATGAGGAGCCAAACAGGGACGGACAGTCCAGCAATCCTGGGCCACAGGGCCTGTCGCAGGGTGGTGCCATCCAAGGTGGAACAGGACGTCGTCACAGATGTCCTTGCACAGGCTCTGGTGCCCTGTGTAGTAGCTCTGGTTGGCAGCCATGTGTCCTTTGTGACCTTTCAGCTGTGAGTGTTTTTAGGGCTTGACACAGCAGCTCAGATTTGATCCTGGCCACCTCCCATTCCCAGGCTGGGCCTCCTGAGCTCAAGGCAGAGGGGTTGAAAACCTGTCCCTGCTGCGGGTGGCTTGGGAGAATGTTCCCGTGTGAGGGAAGCACCACCTGAGCATGGGTGTGGGGCCCTGGGTGACGAGCTGCAGGCCCTGGCCGTGTCCTTGAAGGCAGGGCTGGCTGCCCAAGGTGACTGTGTCAGTAGCTTCTGTCACGTCTACAAAGCTGAGACCATCTCTTGCTGAGAAAAAAGGCTGTCTCTGGCTCGTGGCTTGGAGGCTTCAGTCATGGTCATGGGCCCGATGCTTGGGGCCTGTGGTGGCCATCACAGCAGAACCACTTGACAGAGCAGAGCCATTTACTGGGTGGTTTGGAGCAGAAAAGAGCTGTCCTTGGAGGGTGCACCCCGAGGACCTAAGGCCTCTCCCAAGGCCCCATACATTTCCACCCTCTCCCAACAGTGCCGTGCTGGGGGCGAGCCTTCAACCCCTGGGCCTTTGGGGGACTCTGAGAGCTGCATGGTGGCAGGTCCCAGGAGGAGCACGGTGCTGCGTGGAGGGGGCCATACCAGTTAGGGAGGGGTCTCCTGGGCCAGGGCTGCCCAGGCCAGGGCCACCCAGACACAGCAGAGGATGCCTGTCAGGAGTGCCCTGTTGCCCGCTCCTCTTGGAGCCATTCAAAGTCTGCCCCGAGGCACCTGTAATAAGAGGGATGGCAGCAGAAAGCACATAGAGTGAGTCCTCAGTGACACAGGCCTTCAGAAAGGCAGAGCCAAGGACACAAGCAGCCTTCGTGCCCACCCACTGACCACGGACTGGGAGGGGGCAGTGGAGGACTGTGATGGGTCAGCGGGTGAGGACCAAGGCTCATGGCCTGGGGTCCTCGTGAGGCCTGTTCAGGTCCCTGTGTCCCCTACCTTCTGACACGAGGCTGTTCCTTCCCTCCAGGTGGAGGGAGGGTCTTAGGGCCTGCTTCAAAGGCAGGTGGGGGATGCTGTGCCCTGCCCCAGGTGACAGGGCAGAGCAGGCTTGGGAGACCTCCTGCTCTGTGGCTGCCTCTGGGGCCAAAGGGCTGAGCTTTGGGGTGGTATGTCCTGAAGCCTCCTTCCCTCTCCCTCCTCCGTGGTCTCACCCTTCAGCTTCTCTGATGGCTTTCCCAAGTGTGGAGGGGTTGGTCTCCATCCAGCAGATCAGAAGCACCTACCAACTTCAGTCTTTGGCTGTGGGAAACAGCTGTTTGCTGGAAAGTATAAAACCCCAGGTCCAGGACGAAGAGGAGAAGGGTCGCATCACAGAACGCCTGCCTTCTTGCCTGATGGCAGGTCCTGCAGCGGCTCTCCTCCAAGCTTCAGCCCTCTGGGCCCTCCCCACTACTGACCAGGTGCCCCGTCAATTGCTTGTCACGTTTTTGGAGGGCCCTAGTGGGGGCCTCATCATCTTCTGCTCCTGTATTGCCATGGTGTGATTCCCCCTCATCTCCAGTTTTGCTTTCTAGGGTTTCTGTTACCTGTGGTCAAATGTGGTTGGAAAATGTTAAATGGGAAGTTCCTGGAATAACAATTGATGGGTTTTACATTGTGTGCTACTCTGAGCAGCATGAAGACATCTCCTGCCTTCCTGCTCTCGCCCACCTGGAATGTAAGCCATTTCTTTGTCCAGGGTATCCACACTATATGTGCTACCCACTCGTTAGTCACTGAGTAGCTAGGTCACAGTGCTTTGTTTTAGTAAACTTTATTTTCTTCATAATGGTTCCAAAGTACAGGAGTAGTGATGGAGGCAATTCAGATGTACCAAAGAGAAGCTGCAAAGTACTTCCTTTAAGTGAAAAAATAGAAGTTCTCCAACTAAGGGAAAAAAAAAAAAACTCACATGTGGAGGTTGCTAAAACCCCCAGGACAGCACGATATTTAGAGAGTGAGAGACCATTTCACACAACTTTGATTGCACTACGTTGTTATAATTATTCTATTTTATTAGTAATGCTTTTTGTTATTCTCTTTCTGTGCCTAATTTATAAATTAAACTTCGCCACAGGTGTGCATGTGTAGGAAGAGGCAGTGTGTACAAGGTGAGTGCCACCTTTGGTTTTGGATACACACTGGGGTCCTGGAGCGAATCCGCTCTGCGTGGGCCACGGTGCCCGCAGAGGGGCAGCCGTTCCTGGGAATTGTGAGTCCAGGTTCTCGAGATGATGGACATTTTCTGGGAGGGGCAAGACTATGGGGCCAGGAAACGAATCCTTGTTGCCAGAGAGGGGAGGAGCTTGCTGGGAGCTGCAGGGAGGACAAGGAGCCCCTGTATCTTGTGGTGGGGTGACACGACTGTGTACATAGATAGGAATTTTTAATTTTACACCCCAAAGAGTGGATTTTACTGTGGGTGACTTTGTAGTAGTGACTAAGTTTTTAAAATGCCTTCCTACTCAAGATGAGAGCTGTAGAGGTCTGAATGGTGGCATGTGGCAGAAGACAGCGGCTGAGGTGGGCGCAGTGGCCTGCACCGCAGTCCCAGACCCTCTGTGGGCCCCACAGGAGCACATGCTGTGGTCTCAGACCCTCTGTGGGCCCCATGGGAGCACATGCCACAGTCCCAGACCCTCTGCAGGCCCCACGGAGGCATGCTGGGAGGCAGGAGTTCAGGGACAGCCTGGCCTCATGGCGAGACTCCGTCTCAGCAAAGACCAAAACAGAACAAGAGGCCTCTGCTCAGGTGCCAGATGGCCACTGGCAGCCTGGTGTCCTCTTCTGCTGAAACAGAGCAGAGCAGGAGATGGGCACCACCCCAGTCTCGGTCTGTGAGCTCAGGGAGCAGGTCTTGCTGGGCTCACTGTCTGGCAGTCACAGCGTCCTTGGAATATTTTCAAATGCTGCACATGCTTCTGTCAAGGAGCAGCAGTGTCCCGGGCAGTTAGTGGAGGCCCCCAGGGGAAGACACTTGGCACAGGGAAAGCCGTTTGTGCCACAGCCCAGGATGCTAGACCCCCGTGGCACAGACAAGAGAGGACCCAAGATCTCAGAGGCAAGCATTTTTTGTTTCCTGCCCTGGTTTCCAGGGAGTCTTTGGGGTCTGGGGAGGTGTATTATCTTGTAGCTAAAGTGGCTGCTGCCAGCTGAGGTCTGCCAGGAGGCCTGCTGGGCATGGCCACCCACACGGGTTCCCCAGTGGAGCGCGACACCCATTGGGCAGTCAGTCTCTTTCTGATGCAGATCTTCCAGGAGAGACTGCTGGCTCCTTTCAGAGGTCTGCAGGGAGATGGGTTTCGAGCCTCCCCTGAGTGTGGCTGGCCAAGGGGAGGGTGTGCACTGTGGTGGGACTTTGTTTCTGCGGGAGCTTTGCTGTGGACTAACACCTTGGCATTGGGGGTCCATGCCAGGCTGCTTGGCACCAGCCCCCCATCTTACAGCAGGGCTGTGAAGGCCTGGTAATTTGCATGGGGCTCTGTCTCAGAGGAGGTCAGCAGGGGCTCGGGCCCGCTATAGCTGTGCCTTGTCGACTTGTAAGAGCCCTTCCTCTCATCTCAGCTTCCTCAGTTTCTGGGGACCCTAGAAACCATTGGCTGCTGTCAGCCTGGTTATGGATGCTCCAGGAGTCGCACGGGGCCAGACAGAGGCTGGGAAGCCGGTGGGCAGCTGCCCCGCTGCGAAGCTCTTCCCTTGTACATGCTGTTCTGGCCACGATCTGCAGCCTGTGCTGCCTGGGTGCTTTCTGTTTCTGCCCCATGATGGGCTCCCCTCCTGCAGGGTCCCTGGGCAGCATCACCCCTCACATCCCAGCTGCTTCCTCTCTGAGCCAGTAGCTGCCTCCACGAAGGTGAAAGAAAAGAGGCCAAGAGAGGAGCTGGCAGCTTCCAGCCACCTCCTGTGGTGTCTGAGCAGCCAGAGGATCCAGCAACAAGGCTCACTAGACACGGCAGCCTTACTTGTCAGATTTAAGTCCCCCGAGCATGTAGGTCTGGGAGGGGAAAGGTGTGATCCCCTCCTGGCCCACCCTCAGCGTCATGGCCAGCTGTCCAAACGCAAGACGGGTAGACAGAGGAAACAACAGGTTGATAGATTGACACTGTGTGACAGGGGAGCCTAGAGAAACGAGGACCAGGGACTCAGGGAGAACCGCTCTGTGCTGGGGTTGATGGACAG